GCCGCGAGGAGCCCCTGTGTGGTTTGTTCTCTGGGGAGGTGCTTCACCCCAAAAGTCCCGATTCGGCTCAAAATTTTGGATTTTGAGTTGTAGGCATTTTTAGCTTCTTCAGCCTCTCTTACAACTGTTTAATAGCATTAGATCCCCCTTAAGCCATATTTCTTCCCATACCGGACATGATTGTCACAACCATTTCCTGATAAAATCAATCTTTTATTTTTATTTATCGCCCGTTTTCTCAAAACGCGGTTTTTATACTTTTTTTGAAGAACTCCACCATTTTTCAAGAATGAAGAGAAGACGTAATACTAAAAATGTTTGTGTTGAGTATTTGATATATTATGTAAAAGATTTTTGTTGGCGGTGTCTGGAATGTGTATTTTCACGATTTTTTTGCAAATTTGAAAACTACCTCAGGACAAAAGTCGTTAGAGATCTTCTAATTCGTTAAAAACAAAATTCAAAGAAAGAATCCGTAGATCTTATGTTTGCTAACATGCATGCAAAAAACCCCAACAACAACAAAAAACCCAAACAAAAACAACAACTCTAATCTACTTCCACGAGAAAGATGTGCGGTATTCATTACATAAGACATGTCAAATTAAATCCGATATGGCAACCGCAGCGAAGGAAACGACACTTTTTTCTGAAATTTGATTGCAGATTTTTAGACTCTTTATCATGTTTGTTGTTATACGTGTGAAATTTGGTAAAATTTGATCCTCTAACAAGCGAGATAGTCTTCAGGTGTAGCCCCCTCCCCCCTCCTTAATGTGTCGGCGTGTATACGTTTACAAGCTGGGCCCCCTTTCGATGAAAGGAATGATCGGTGCATTTAACATCAACTGAAAGTCATTGGCCTGCTATAATTACATCTACGGGAATGGAGCAATAAATCTTGAGAACAAAGTGACACACGCGTTTCCAAGTTGTCAAAGCACCCTAGATACATACGGGTCGCACAATTAAAATAGTGCTCAGTTTTGCGAGACAATGTGCGATAGTATCGAACGGAAGTACGACTTGAAATAAAAGACCTGGCGGATTTTCTAAAATTACAGAGACAGAAGTGTTGGCCTACAAAAGCGATCGGCGAAATAAAGAAATTTAGCTTTTTGCAGAAAAACTGTCTCAAAACTGAAAAAACGAAGGGCATCATGATCTGGAGAATATTTTAAAGAATCTTTTGGCGAAAACTGCATTTCGATCGATGCAGCCATTAAAAAGCCTTTGAATAGCAAAATTCGGCCACCACAAATAGATAATAGATGTGTGTCAGCGCGTGTGTGTGTATGTGTGTGTGTATGTGTGTGTCTTTATAGGCACGCCTGCATGTGTCAAATGTGCGTGTGTGTGTGTGTGTGTGTGTGTGTGTGTGTGTGTGTGTGTGTGTGTGTGTGTGTGTGTGTGTGTGTTTAGTTGTGTGTGTGTAGGTGTATGTTTACAAAGGCACGTCTGCATGTGTCAGTGTGTGCCTTAAACTATGTGTCTTTGTCTGTGTAAGCGTTTATATATGCAAATGGCTCGGGGGCAAAGGGTCCATTGTTTTTCACGGGTTTTGTTTATGTTTTGACTGTTTCCTATTTCCTGGAGGGGGGAGGGGAAGTATATGGGGGGGGGGGGTTAGGGTCGTTTGTAAAAGAACAACAGTTCTTGCATCTTTTATAAACAGGATGCTGTTAAGGCCCGCGAATCAGGTTTTTACGCTGTGCCATCACTAGCCTACCCGTAAGTTGAACTCGGAATTAATTATTAGAGGCGGACATGCCCGAATGCATCGCCAACCAGCAAGCTAGGCCTAGACGTGAACGATCATGAAGCGATGGTTTCTGAATTAGTTTTTTACAGGTAGGGCCGCCGTCTCCCGTTCACGGAAACATCACCCTTTATGATCTGCCACCAGTAGGGGGCCCAGACAGAGATCCTGGTGTCCGTTTTATTAATGAGGCTTACGCTTTCCGAACAATATATTGTTCTTTGTCTTCGTTCAACTCTTCAGGTTACTAGCAACAATTACTGTAATTTGTAACTGTGTTAGCCAATTGTGAATTGTAACTGTAAATTTGTTATTGTGATAGTAATTGTAAATTAGAAGTGTAAACTGGAATTATGATGGTGATAGTATAATATTTACCATTCAAATGTGGATATAGCAAAGTGAAATGTGACATAGCAAAGTGAAATGTGACATAGCAAAGTGAAATGTGACATAGCAAAGTGAAATGTTTGTGAAGTTTTGTGACATTGAACATTCAAATGTGACACGTATTTATTTTACACTTTGACGCATCGTGTAAGATCAAATTATGTGAACACAGCAACATAAAAAGTACAAAATTTCTTTTTTTCAAATGTGACATTGCATTCTCAAATGAAAAATCAATAGAAATTGGATTTTTTTGGATCTATATGGCATGACCAATGGAGTCTGCCTTTCTCAGCCACGCCACCCCCCCTCCCCCAAATCCACCATTTTCTTCCATGTAGTATGTAAATTGGACAATCATCAGCAAATTTTAATATCGTGACAGGCATCTATCACCTTGGAAACGTTAGAAGACACTCTTGTTTAACTCTTTAAAGCCCAGAGTTTTTTTTCTCTGTTTCCCGGAGTTTTTTTCTAGTCACCTAAACCTAGTGCACTTTGTCTCATTATAACCCCAGGAGCTTGCCTCCAACTTCTAAATAGCGTAAACAAAGGCTTAGTCATTACTAACAAATTTGGTTCGGGCTTAGTTCCGAAAAACAAGCAAAAACTAGCACTTAATAAAACAAAACAGTTGTCACCAGTACTGGTCGCTCCCAGCGTCCGATGGGGTTCAAAGAGTTACAGAAATTCTACCACCTTGGAAACTTTAGAAGACACTCTTGTTAAAGAAATTCCAAACACACCCAGGATCTGTGCCATTCATTCAGCATGTACAAACTAGCGAAGTTGTCTACATTGATGAAGCAGGCATAAGCTTATGGATGAAACGAACCCGTGAACATTTTTATAATAATTTTATGAACGGAGATGTACTTTTTCGCGTTCATGTTGCCAATGTGGGAAATGGGTCATCCTGCAGTTATTCCCGATGTCATAGGTCATACGTTTTATGTGCTATGGTTGCTAAAAGAATGAAGCTTATACCTTGCCATGCTATCAACACATTTACAATAGCCAAAACAATTCACTCAAATACCATTTTTATACAATTTTATGGCATTTTAGAAACAAAACAAGGATTCCTGCTTTCACAATATCAAAGGGTGTACGAAAAACCAGTGAATAAATATTGGCATTGTCATTATAAGAGTCTGTGAAAGTTCAAAATCTCGCTTTTTCATCGTTTTTATGGTGTCATGTTTTGAACTAGTTTGAACTTTGATATCGTTTGTAGTTAATTACAGATGTCAACAATTTTAACAGTGAACATTATTGTCTTCACACCTCTATTTGGTACAATGAAGAAAATCTACCCAATAATTAAATCATATATAAATACAAGTAAAAAACCCAATAAATTGAGTTTAATTTATTCTTTTTTAAAACAGAAAATGTACCGATGTATGATCTTAATCTCTGCTACTTTTATCCAAAAAGAGAAACAGTTTTTTAAACATTAAA